CACCTTGACCTCCATGAATACCGCGTCGGCATCTACACCGGTCGACATACTAATCCGACAATGAACCTCCTCCTCCTCCTTGAGCTCATCAGGGGAAACCCACATGGGATCCTCTCGCCCCTTGTACGAATACATTAGCGCCTCCTGGGTTTGCAATAGGAGGACATGGCATTGCACCGAGGTCCTCAAGATGTGGATCCTTCCCAAGCTATCGGTCTTCAAGCGCGCCGTGGCATCAACAAGCAACTGGGTGTCTTTGGAAAGGGCGTCAAGGGAATCCCAGGAGCGAAGTCTCCTCGGAGCCCCACCGATGAAGGCCGATAGGCTGATGCTGAGGCCGGGGATGTAAAGTCAGGTCTTGTGCCACGCTCATAGAGAGTTGGGAAATGGCACAAGGAAGAATTTGGAGGACGGTCCCAGCTGAAGGCTCAGCCCTCCGAGGTTGCGATTCATTTGTCTGCACCTGAATGCAAAAGAAATGGCAGAATAACTCAAAGCAAGGAGTCGTCCCGAGAATGCACTCCTAGAAGATAGTGAAGCTGGCAATGTGGAGAACTCCGGGTTTGCGTCAAGTGGTGAAGATGACATCCAAAGGAAAATACGAGTCCCTGTATGAACTTGTGCAGGGGAAACCAAGACCGCGGCCAAAAAATCTTGATGGAGCGCGCGCTCGTCGGTGACCAGCGTTGGAGGGACTTCTCCCTTTGCGGATATCCAATATGTTAGGTTTGTCAGAAATAACCCCTTCGTCTTCAGCCTTCTGTCTTCCGCCTCTGAGGCGGCTGAGGGGAACCACTTGTCGATGGTCTTGTTGGCCTTCTTCTTCTCTGTCGGCTCGTCGGTGGTGCCGTCCCTCTTTTGGTTCCGCTCGACGGCCTGGGTCGCCTGGAGAATGCTTTTCCCGTGGCCTCGGAATGCGCCGGCCTTTAGCTTCTTCATCCTCTCATGCTCAGAGGAGGAATCCAGGGACGCAAAGATCACATACGCAGCAATGGTGAAAGTGGAGATCAAGGAGCTCAATGGAGTCACGAGGAAGAAGCAAAAAGAGGAAGGCAGAATGCAGGGCTTACCACTCTTTCCCCCTCTTTATATTACCGCGATAAGCGCTAAACAATCAGGATTAATGGCGCGACACGCGCCCCAATACTCATGCACTTGGCACTTATGTAGACATTGGTGTTAAACTCCGGGCACCCTCACCATAATTGTAGTGAAGGCCTGTCTCCAGGAGACCCGATAATGATCGTAGCCAGGTTCCCCATGACAACCTTCCTCAACTGAGGAGCTGGCGCCATCCCCAAGAACTTGAAGGACTCATGGGCAACTGGTGGCGGGATGACCCGGGGTAGGCCCATGACAAGGGTTAGGCCCAATATGACCAACGACCCAGTAGTTGTCAAGAGTATCACTCGGCTGAGCCAGTCCAATGAAGCCCATTCGGTGGAGCGTCGTGAACCTCATCCAAAAAATCACCATACCGTCCATCCGACTGGACCAAGACGTGGTCAATCAAGACAAATGCACCTGTAGTGCCATCAAGGCGACTCTTATGGCGACGTGGTAATGCCACTAGTAATTGCCGCCATTATGGCCGTTATCACATCATGGCTCTTAACAGCCCTTTTAACTCCACCTTCTCAGCCGTAGTATATAAGGAGAAAATGGTGCGAGACATAGACATAGTCACTTAAGTCTACATGCCAGATAATTTCTTTGTAATCACTTGGCTCAAACAAGGGAAAAACATCCAAGTAGGAGGAGTGTTACCACTAGAACAGGGGATATCTTCCACATGTGCCTTGCCTCCACAAAATCCCCAAATCATGAGTATTGTCGCAAAATTCCCTCAACAATCTACAATACCAAGTTTTCTTTATTATATTCATTATGAAATATATCTTACATTATGTATATATGATATCATAGATATTAGCACATTTTCTACGCAAATAGTCAAACTTTAACTTGTTTGCCTTAGGACAATCCTAGAACTCAATTATTTTGGAACGAAGGGGTCCCTCACTAGGCTCTGTACACTTTATCTGTGTATGTATGCCATCTACTACCTCCGTCCTGGTTTATTGGTCCCTATCGTATTTTGCGTCAAATTTTGATAATAGATTTAACTAAAAAATGTGAATGCATATCATAAAATATAATATCATTGAAAACTATGTTCAAATAAGAATCCGACGATATAAGTTCTGGTGACATGCATTAACCTTTTTTAGTTAATTTTTTTGGTCGTGCGCTCCACGCCTCTGCCCGACCAATTAGTTCATAGTTGGGGTGAACTCATGAGTGCTTTGACCATATTCGATGGATTATTTAGCAACTAGATGTGACGGTAGTCGGCGTACTGAATTTATGAGTTTACTGCTTATCTACCATGGTCCCAACACATGCTATAATATTTTATGAATGTTTGATTGATCACGACACATATCCACGCTTCTACTTATGTGTGGTCATTGCTTTGAGAGATGCTACAAGTGAACCTATGAACTCTGGTCCAATTTTCATGCGTAAGTGATTCTCCAACTTATGTTTACATGCATTTTCTTTTTTGCAATTAATTATTCCGAAAATACTAAAATACTTCCAACACATTGTACGATCATAAATTATTACAACCAGGAAAGCTAGTGAGATTGGAAACCTCGTTAGAACAGATGGGATCATAAATAGATTATTAATTCCTTTCTAAGTGTTTCTCGAATGAGGGTAGCGATGTTGCCTACGGATTTATAACTTGGTTTCTCAGTTGTGGGGAAAGTTATCCATGCTACAAACCCTTGCATTGAGTGGCCTAAAACCTACATACCATTCGACAATCCTTGGAGTACCAGCTGTCGGATAATTAACCGTTGTATATTGCTCTATGCTTCATTAGTCCATTTATTGGCCTGTTTAGATGAAAGATATGTAAAGAAAGTGGTGTATTAGATGAATTAGATCCCTATTTTTGAAGTACTCTTGGTGACAATGAGAGAGTGCAAAACTCAGTCGAATTTGCCTAAGTAAGGATAAAATATAGTTGAGTTGTTATCCCGATAATGACTTATGGATGATCCTATTCACAATGCGCTATTTTATTACTTAATATGTGAGGTGAATTACTCTTTTCTTACCAAGAAATTCTTGGGTAATCAACTCCCATTCTACAAACAGCCAAATATGAACCTTGTCGGTCTTCTTTCCTCGTGGACAGGAAACACACCAGCGGTGTGCGCTGGGTGATTCCATTGTGCCTTTTGCAGTTGACCGTCTGGATAGTTGACCGAAATATCACTTTGATTCGCGTGGCCAACAGGCAAGAGTAAGGGTTTTGGACACCTTCGGTGGAGTATTAACCATTAGATGCAATTGTAGGTTGTCTAATGGTAATGAAATTATGGATACATTGCCTATAGGACGTTATCCCAACATAAGCTATGTTGTGTCATGAATGTTTGATTGATCATTACACATAGGTAAACTTATATTTATGTTTTACCGCTGCTATGAGAGATTTTGTACTAGTGAACAACCTATGACCCTGATCCATTTCTACCGTAAGAAAACTCTCCAACCACCTATGAAAGCCATGCATGCATGCATGCATGCAACGTGTTTGTAGTGAGAGCGGAGAGGGTGTGCAACCCGTGTGGATGGGCCAGTGGAGGACCAACGAGAGAAAGGAGTCAAAATACGGCCGGTGTGTCGGCTAGCTCCATGCGCTGTCATTTGCTCTTGGCTTGCCGCGCCAGCTGAGCCGCTCCAAATCACTTTGGCACTCGTACTACTTGTAGATAGATCACTTGGCACACGCGCAAAACGAGGAAACTATTCTGCTGAATGGCTATAATTTGTGCCAAATGGTCCGTGACCAAGAAAATGAATTATTAGGTGAGATCTGGAAGGATGAGGTTGGTCTCCTGGATTCATAGAACTTGTACAGGAAAGGATGATGTTCTCGTTTTCTCGCACGTGAGTTGCATGTATACGTTAAGCGGCAGCACGGCAGCAGTATATATAGCTGCTATGCACAACTTAGATAGTCACACAAACACACACACACACACACACACACACACACACAGATAGTTGAAGAGATGTTTCCAATGACGGGTTCACCGAAATGCGTTGCTTTCCGGTCAAAGCATACCGGCAAGTACCTAGGTAGCGTGCAAGCAGGGAGCGAGGAGAGCGCCGGCGGAGGCAAGTTCTTCGAGGAGCTGAGCCACGGCGCCGACGACGTCGATGTCCTTGCAAGCCCGTACACTAGATTCTACCTGGAGCCATCCAAGGAGCACGACGGGCTCCTGCACGTCAGGTGCTGCCACAACAACAAGTACTGGGTGGCCAAACATGTCGGTGAAGGCAGCGGCCACTGGATCATTGGCATCGTCAATGAACCGGAGGACGACCTGTCCAAGCCATCATGCACGCTTTTTGAGCCCAACCCTCTCGCGGACACGGACAATAATCTATCCATCAGGTACGTACAGTACCATCTATTTTTTCTGTCTACACGTCAATTTACCAATCATTCTATGTCTACTACTCACTCTGTCTGGAGCAGTATAATTTTTTGTTAAAATTTTACTAGACAAAGCCTCCACGCATAATCAATTAATAATTACTACCTTCGTGCCATAATATAAGATCGGTTACAGTACTGACAAAAACGCTCTTATATAATGGGCAGAGCGAGTAATGTCTTGGAGAAAAAAGAAAAAGAAAAAAGATCAACACTGATAGCTGCTTGGTCTAGTAGTCCTCATTCTAATAGGATGGAAACACATGCATGCAGGTTCTTCCGTCCTCAGCAGACAACAAGCTCTGAATCTGATATAACCAAGGAAAAGGGGACAACTTAAGAAGCCTACCTGCGTCTGGGAACCGGAGGGCATGAAAAAGCAATTGATCAAGTGAAATCTCTTCATGACTTCTCCGCCATTGATCTGTCGAAGCAATTGGTACTGCCTAAATATGTTGCTTTTAAAGGCGACAATGACATGTACCTCCGGGCGAGGATCATCCAGAAACGCAATTACCTGGAATTCTCATCATCTGATATTGCAGATTCAACTGTGGTCAACACTATTTTCCCTAACTATGCTAATGGGAACGTGCGCATAAAATATAACCACTTCAATAGGTTTTGGAGGCTCAGCCCCAACTGGATCTGGGCTGACTCGGCCGACACCAGCAGCAGAGACCGTGACACGCTCTTCAGGGTGGTCATGTTGCCCGACTACATCGGTCTCCAGAACCTGCGAAACTCCAGGTACTGCAAGAGGCTAACTGCCGACAAGAAGACAAGCTGCCTTAATGCCGCCGTCGATACCATCACCCTTGAAGCAAGATTACGGGTGGAAGAAGCCGTACTTTCGCGAGAGGTCTATGGCGTGGAGTTCAAGCTCTCCGAAGCTAGGATCTACGGCGAGAAGCCTCTTACCTTTCCCAGCATGACTTCAACCAATGACACCAATGAAACACATGCCAAAACCCTGACCCTGAAATACGAGGAGACGCAGGCCAAGACCTGGAGCTCGACTGTTAGCCTCAAGATCGGTGTCACGACCAAGTTAAGAGCCGGGATCCCGGTCATAGCAGAAGGGAAGGTTGAGGTATCCACTGAATTCAACTCAGAGTACGAGTGGGGGTCATCCATTCAGACAACGACGTCACAAGAGGCCTCCTACCAGGCTGTGGTGACTCCGATGACCAAGGTGACAATCAGAGCGGCTGCGACTCAGGGTTTTATTGATGTCCCGTTCTCCTACACTCAGAGGGACATTCTGATCACAGGAGAGGTTGTTACCTACAAGATGGACGATGGCCTGTTCACTGGTATGAACAACTATAATTTTCAATTTGAAGCCACACAAGAGCCCATCTGATGTGAAGATGCATGCATTAGTTAGCCGTATTAAATAAAGCCATTCCAGCATTGGAGTGGCCCGGATTTTCTGTGTGGTGATTCGATGGTGTATTGTAATTTTTTATTTTTTTTACTTTGTGGGTTGTGTGCTCTTATATGTTTCCCTTTACCCATTGTATACTTTTCTATGTGATGATCGACAAAATATTGTGCCCCCTCCATTTTGCTTTATTTTGGCGTAGTTATTCTAATTTAGAGCATCTCTAGCAGCTGTTAATACGGTTGCGTATACACGTCTTGGATGAGGATATGGCCAAACAGGCATCCATCCACTCATCTAAACAATTTTGTAAATGTAGACGCCCTCGGATTTTTTCTTGAATCACCACCACGATGTAGGAGTATCCCTAGGGATGGAGAGTTGTAACCAACCCAAGCAGAGAGAAACTTGTCTTTGCAGGAGTAGTGAGTGCACTAATCTAATTTCCTGAAGTACCATTAATCTCTATAGGGATATGCCAGTAAATTATAAAAAAAATTAATTGTGAAATTATTTCCTGTCTAACAAGATACATGGCCAGCTCATATGGTATACTTGATTAGTAGTTTCATGTAGTTATAATCACTAGAACATCATAACTTGTTTGGGACTAAAGGATTTGTTGTTGTTGTTGTTGTTGTTGTTGTTGTTGTTGTTGTTGTTGTTGTTGTTGTTGTTGTTGTTGTATAATCACCCGAACATGTGACCGGCTTTAGCTGTTGTTGGCGGGAGATTTGTTCTGATTGTTGATCGACTGAAATTTGGCCTTTTCTTGAGGTGCATGTGTTTGTTTAGATATTTCGGATGGCAGTGCATCGAATTTTGCCACAACACTGTTTCAGACTAAATTTGTGCATGGGTGTTGACTTTTCTAAAAGAACATAAACTTTTTTTCACACATTGCAAATGTAGGCACTCATATATACGTACATACACTCGACCATATGAACGCACTCACACCCTACCCCTGTGAGCACCTTCAAGAGACTGAGCCGACACATTTACCCCTATGAGCACCTACGAGAGACTTAGCAGATACATCATTTTGAGATTGACAAAGTCATCACAAATTCCTTTGTGCCCGACAGGGAGTTCTCATGTCATTGAACGCACATCGTCAGAAGGTCTGAAATAATTCCAGAAAAATGTGAGTACCAGGTTTCAAGTCCAGAGACCGAGCCGATACATCATTTTGAGAACGACAAAGTTATCACAGACCTCTTTGCGATCGACGGAACGTCTCATGTCATTGAGCGCACATCGTCGGAAGACCTTAAATAATTACAAAAAAATACGAGCACCAGGATTCCAGTCCAGAGACTGAGCCGTTACATCATTTTGAGAAAATACGAGCACCAATTTCAAGTCTAGGACTTGAACCCTCGTAGGATGGGCATACCACTGTCTTCCTAACCATCCAACCACAGGTTGGTACGCCAAATTAATTTATTTAGATAAGAATGATACAACTGTAGTTTTATATAATGGACTTTGCAAGACAGATAAATAACAACCCTTAACACTCATGATTTGTCATTGACGAGACCACTCACCAAGAAGAGCATCACCACAACAAGGAACCATCTGCGCCGCCAAGAGGACTCCACCAAGGGAATCCACCTTGTGGTTTGCTAAGCCGTTTGAGCTACGCGGGTTGTCCGGGAACTAAAACTGATGAACACACCTTGGTCGTGACGCCAATGTCCTTGGACCAGCGAGATCTTCATTGGCGAAGAAATAACCGTCATCCGCAACCGTTGGAAAGGAAGAAGGGCATTAACCATTTGCAAAGGAACCACGCATCAATTGCCGACATTTGAAGAGAACCCATAGATCCGAGGACACAAACTCACGAGCCATTTATTGATGCCCATACGAGTCAAGTAAGCAAAGATCCGACATACCTTATTCCAACACGTCATTGCCACAATCACCTCGTCGATGTCATCGGAGAAAACAAACAGCTAAGAATAAAAAAAATTGACGGACGGGTCCCCACTCCTCATGTCGCTGAAAAGGTCGTCGGACAAGGAGGAGGAGGGAGCCGATGTCGTGGCCTTGGGAAGGGGCGAGTCTATACCTCTCTTATAGCAAGTTGGAAGCTATTCTCGCTTGCAACGCTCGTAAATGGGCCAGGTGGCCCATGTCTCGCGATAAGTAGTAGGCCTTAGTTGGGGTGCGTGCAAGTTAGTTTTATCGTATTTGAAACTTAAAATTACTTAAACCAAAATAAAAGCCATAATTTTGAAAAATATTTAAGATTATAAGAAGGGTATCATCCATAGGGTATCCATCCAGCAGTGCGTCGCCCGGGGCGGAACCCACGCTACTTCTCGGCATGGATAGGACGGTGCTATCCAATGCTGGATCATTCACTAGTTGCGGCCGCTGCTGAGACCCCCTTTCCTGGCTAAGCGAGTCGATCTGCTGCTCCTCCCTCTGCAATTTGAGTGCCACTCAGAAAAGCCTTGAAGGCGTTCTACTTCCTGCTTCCTCTGCTTGTCCTCCGGCTTCTTCTTCTTCTTCTCCTCCTCCATCTTCCTTCACGCACGGCTTCTGTAGTCGGCGTTCCACTCAGAAAAGCCCTCATACCATGGAACAACGCCCTTGCCTCGTGTTCTTCCCGGGAGTTCAGGATTTCCCAGGGCGCGCGTAAGCTCATCGTTCTCTTTGTTGGGTGTGAACACCCCCTTTCGAGCTTCTTATATTGCTTCAACTAACTTATCATCGGCTCCTTTAAGACATGCCTTCTTCGAAACCTCGCCTGTCTTCGGGTCAAACGCCCCTCCCCCCCATGCGCATAGAACCAAGTTCTGCACCTGGGGTGCCAACAATGTAACTGGAGTGACCTGTGCAGCCAGCATCTTTTGCTCAGACTTATCCCACTTAGGCATTGCCACGCGTAGCCACCTGGCCCCGGCCTATGGAATTGCTTCTTTTTTGTGGCATTGGCCTTGTTTTTTCTGGACCGTTCCTTAGATAATTCTGATTCCTTGAATTTCACGAAATCATCCGACTGTTCTCTTTGGTTCTCCAGTGTTCCCTTGAATTCTGGAGTCTTCTTTCTTGCTTTGACGTAGCTATTCCATACAGTTTTCTTGTGGTTGTTGAATGCAATTGCCATATTCCTAAGAGCAGCGTCCTTGACTTTCTGTAGCTGTGAAATGATCTGGTAGGATGAAATGTTCCATTAGATCTTCCCAAAGCGCTTTTTTTTTGCTTTGTCGTCGTCAAAAGTAAAATCTGGACGGGGCTTTGATGGCTCTTTCCATTCTTGAAGGGAGATCGGGAGTTTGTCCTTCACAAGGACTCCGCACTAACGAATGAACTTGTACGCAATGCTCTTAGGCGTTATTGGTTCGCCATTAGTTTTGATGGCATCGATGTTGTACTTTACACCCTCCTTCAACTTTTTTCCCGGGCCTCGCACTCTGCCTGTAGAAGATTTGCTCAATCCGGAGGGATGAAAGAAGAAAGATCGATTTGTTAATATATCTTCAAACCATTTAAAACATGTGATGATCACCAGATGCCTTCTTATATAAATATACCTCACCGGTTTCTGTTATTTCAAGATCAACATTTTCTTCGCCATCATAATCAAAGTCGTCGTCCATGACTTCATCAATTCGGTCGTCGCGATCGAATATCATATCATCACCCTCCCCGGTATTGTTCAGATATTAGGAGCCGCCATCTTCTTCATTTCAATCATCTGGCGCGCGAGGGGAGCGTATGATCTCGAACAGGGCTTCTTCTCCCTCTCTGCCGGTATCTAATTCATCTAGCTAAAACTAACATTTCTAACATTTCTAACATTTCTATATACTATTTAACATTAATTTAATCTAATTAATTAATTCATCTAAAACATTTTATAAAAAATAGAAAAAAAGAAAAAAAACTCAAAACTAAAAATAGAAAAAACTAAAAACTAAAAACTAAATGTGTGTGTGTGTGCGCGCACGCACGTGTGTGTGTGTGTGCGCGCGCGCGCACGTGCACATGTGCACCTACGGCGCCGGTGGCACGGCGGCTTCGATTGGAGGGAGGAGAAGGGACGGGGAGAGGGGCTCACAGTGCGGGCGACGGCGACGGCGACAGCGAGGCGACGGGACAACGAGGCAGAGGGGACGGCGACGGGGACGAGGACGGGGGTGGCGGCGACGGGGACGGGGGCGGCGGCGACGGCGATGGGGACGGCGACGGGGGCAGTGACGAGGGGCGGCGGTGACTGGGCAGAGGAGAAGAAGCAGAGGGAGAACGAACTGACGAATTTTTTTGAAGTGTTTTCTTATATAGAACCTACCTTTAGTACCGGTTGGAGCCACTAACCGGTACTAAAGGTCTGTTTTGGCCAGGCGAAGCGGCGGGAAGCGCAACCCCTTTAGTACCGGGTGGTGGCTACAACCGGTACTAACACTAGTGCAGAATCAGGCTATAGCACCGGTTCATAAGGACTTTTAGTGCCGGTTCTGTAACCGGCACTAAAGGGTGGGGACTAAAGGCCCCCCCTTTAGTACCGGTTCGGCACGAACCGCCACTAAAGTACCACCACGTGGCACGAGCCAGGGCCGGGTGAGGGGAGACCTATAGTACCGGTTGGTAACACCAACCGGTACTAAATGTTCGGGGGTTTTTGGTTTTATTTTTTATTTTTCCTTTAGTTTTGTGTTTTCAATTTAATTTAGAGATTGTTTTTACATTATAATGAGTTGTTAAATCATTAGGTGAAAGTACCGCAGATTAGTTTCAACTGGATGCATGCATGGATCCTAGCTAAGTGATCAAAGTATATATGCCATATCCATATATATATTACTTGATCACTTATATTAGGTGAGCAAGTAATATGGATATGGCATATACTTGATCACTTAGCTAGCAAGGATCCATCCAATTGAAACTAATCTGCAGTTTTTTCATAAGTGATATAATAACTCATCATCATCATCATATTAATATAAAAACTATTGCAT